GAGAGAATTGAATTATAAGCTTGTAGCCGAGATTGATAAACTTAGGAAGGAGAACGCAGAAATACTTGAACTTAAAAAGAAATGTACTGAAATTGAAACCGAGAATATAGAACTTAAAGCTGAGAATATGAAAGTTAAAGCTGATAATGCGAAGTTAAAACAAACTTTAAAAGAACATGAAATCAGAATCACGAATTTAGAACAAAGAAATAAAGAAAAAATTGTTACTAATGTTTCACAACAGGCAGAGGGAAGAGACGAATTCTCGAGTTTACAGCTTATCTCTGATTTGTCTACAGTAAATTCTTATAATACTCCATATCTTTAGAAGATAAAACGATCGATGAGTTTCTAGATCAAAAAGAAAAGGAAAGGGTTAGTAATATGATAAGAGAGAAAAATAGGGAAAAGAAGCTTCAGGACCAAAGCTTACCTTCAGTAGAATCAGAAAAAGTCGATGTTGCCCAATTATCACATGACTTAAAAACCGTGAACGATCAAGATGAGTCAAAGACTCGAAGCTCTGCTTCCCCTACTAACCTATTGCTTAATCAGAAAATTCCTTATAATCAAAAAGTAGAACGAGGTTTAAGACTCGAGCTATTTATTTGCACCAAAGATAATAACCATAATATTAATAAAGTATTTGATATTCAGATTCCCGAATTTGCTTTAGAATCGATTTTAACGGGATCTGGTAAGGTTACATCGCAAAATATAGTTGATCTATTTAGGGTAGCAATGAAGGTTCGACAGAAGGAAAGTTTGTGCTGGTATTGCTATTATAAAGCGTATGAAAATCGAGTTAGTAATGTTAAATCTGTGAATAATACTGATGACCAATCGGCAAGAACGATAGGATATAATGAAATCAAATCGCTCCTTCCTGATGTTACTGATGTAAACTTGCGTAAAATAACTTCTAGAGCGAAAAAAGTATATATATTCTATGAAGGAGTAGGAATTGATAAAATTAATCAAATAACTTACAGTGCAAGTGCTATTTCAAGTCTAAAGGATATTCAAATTCAAAACCTTATAAATGATTTTCCCAAGTCTTCAACAGATATGATAAGCGTGACAAATTGTCACGCGCACGTGACTGAACCATCTCAAGAAAATGATCAAGATAAGTCAAAGACTCGAAGCTCTGCTTCCTCGGAATTACCAGAAGCTAAGGTAAATGCATCTACTGAAGAAACAAAGTCTCGAGTCTCTGACTCATCTATTTCTGCTAATTCATCTGAGGTAAGTACGCCACCTATATCCCAGGTAAATGTATCTAACAAATCCCGACCTTCAATTTCTGTTTTACCTGGTGATCCCGAAAAAAAGCGAGCTCATGTTATCAAAATGGTATTGGAGCAGTTTCCTTATTTAACTTTGAAATATAGTAACGAGTACGGTGACTATTTTAATTGTCCAAAAACCTGTCTCGTATGTAATAAAGAGCATAAAAGAGATGATGTAAAAGGTGAGTGGGGGAGTGGCGATTATGTCAATACAAGAACATATCGTCTTACATGTTGGGAGAATAAATATCAGAATTCAATCCAAATAGTGACTGTAAAAGCATAAGTTAATAAGAAAAATCCATTATTTCCACTAATTAATAATCGTAAAAAATCGCGTAAAAATAAAAAATGGCGGGGCACGAAACCCCTCTCTTTATTTCATAAAAATTGTTGCCGGAACGACGATATACAAATAATATATATATCGCTGTTACAGGTGCGAATACAAATAAAAAATTTTTTTACTATTTAATTTCTTGGGGGGTCTACGTAAATATGAATGCTATTTTCATCGGGGCTAGTAGTAAAGTCTTCAGAAATTCTAATCATTGGTTTAAAAATATTACCACCGGCAGATGAACGAAGGGTGATTTGAGTAGAAGGGATGGAATCAAATAAAGGTGCCAAGCGTTTTTTTTACCATATGTTGAGCAATTCATACTTTTTATCATCAGAAATCTCAATTGTAAAAGTTTCATTTTCAGGGTTTCTTCCACTGACGACACAGTTA